AAAATAACGTCTTTGACTCAACTACTATTTTATCAACATTCTTACAAACACACTTTAATAAATATATTTTTTTTAACAAAATTTACAGGAATCAACTGAATATTTTAAAAAATTTAAAAAATTGTTCTTTTTTTCCGGGATTCGATATTAGTACACAAAAATTATAATGTAAAAATTTTATATTAAATATTTTAAAAGTTACATTACTAGTTATCTTTAATAATATTTTTCAATATCATTTTATTTATGAAACTATAGATGTTCCATGCACCATGCATCAAACAAAATTAAATTTATACTTCATTGTTCACACAAACAACTTCACATGTGTTACAACCTTATTTTTCAAGACAAGACATTTTATTAAAAAAAAAAAAAATAGCCATTGATTCACAAAAACCAATTTTAAAATATTTTTTGTAAAAAGTCAAAATTCAATGTTTATGAAAATATATGTTTTCAATGTTTTCAATGTTTTGACACGTTGGAGGTCTCATTAGTTTATGTTTTTTGCCAAACATACATAGAAGGTTTTTTGAATGATGGTGTTATAATATGTTTTAATCATTTAGAAGGTATTTAAGTAGATAACACAGAGGAGATTTTAATTTATCATTTTTAATTAATTCTATGATGGAGATATGCAATTGCACCTGTATATTATCAAATTATAGTCACTAATCCAGAGATACCAAAACTTCAAAATTGTAAATTTGTTGTATAGAATGTTTTTGTATCAATATAAATATAATAAAAAATAAGTTATCATAGTAAAAAAATTCTAGGTTAATGTGCCTAAAGAATTTCTATACTCACATTTCTGCATTAGCATGAGTAACCGACACCATTTGTGGAAAATCAATAATGATGGGTTTTTCCTCATCATTAATCATTATGTTAAATTCATTGAAATCGCCATGTATAACTCCATGTTGAGCAAAACGAACAATTAAATTCATGAGATCATCATACAAATTTTCTACATTATCAACTTCATAAAGACGAGATCTAAATAATCAAAAAAAAATTTGTTATTTTTTGATATTTAAGTATAAAAAAGTAAAATACTTACAAAGGATGTCCATTTACTAATTCCATAAGCACACAGTGTCGATTGATATCAATGGGTTTTGGAACAGGGAAACCTCTTTTTGATAGTGCCTCCATGTAAGCATATTCTTTTGTTGCTGAAATTCTTGATAAATACAGCCAACCAGCCTTATGTCGATGTGCATGATAATCCCGTTTTTCTTTTAAATTACGAAAACATGTCCTTCCCAATCTACACAACGATACAGAAGTTTATAATATAGATTTGCATTTTAAACTAGAAAGTTACATATTCAAAAATACCTATGTAATTTTAAACATATTGGTTTATCCTCAGGATCAGCAACCACATAAATGTTTGATTCTTTACCAACTCCAATCTGATTACCAAATGATGATATAAGTTGACGTGCAGTAAATGTTTTCAGTGCCAAATAATCATATCCAGTATTAGTTAACCTATAACCATCATCTAAATAACAAAAATGAAAATGTAATGTAATTTTAGATTTAATAAATGTTGTAAATATTATATTTTATATATAATGTTAATTTATGTATTGGTGTTTTAGTTGTTGTTATATTTACATAAGATATTCTTAGTTTGCACTATTTATATCTAGAGATCATAATATTAAATGCATATTTTGACATTACTAAGTGCTATAAATGATTAAGTGTATAAAGCATTATTTTATTGATATTTATAAGGTATATGGTATAGAGCTAATAATACATTTGCAATCTCTGAAATAGTATTGGAGTCATACGCTCATAAGTCATAAAGTCATGAAGTAAATTTTTTAACTCCCAAGAATGGGTTGTGGCCCAATATGTATGTTGTGTGATGAATGTGTGTTATACTGCTATATATTATTA